GACGCTGGTTTTTGTCTCACACTTGTGGCCCGGGCTGTCCTCAAACTTGGGCCCAATCCTTTCGCCTCAGCCTCTGGAAGTGCTTGGATTTCAGACCTGAGAGGCCAGCCACACCCAGCTCCTCCTTTCATTTAGCGGGCGCCTCCTCTGCCCTCCCATGTCCCCCTGGCAGCCTAAACCTTCCTGTGGTCCCTCCCCTGCTGCTGACACAGGGAAGGGAAGGAAGCCCTCCCTGCCTGGCTGAGTCGGTCCCCGTTTTCTGGTTTTGTTTTCCTGACCATGGTCGGCTTTGTCGATTTGACGTTCAATTACCTAGAATCCCATGGAAGACAATCTCAGTGAGGGACTCTCTTGTAGGGTAAAGCTGGCCAAGCAAACATCCTGCCCCTGACTCGACCCCAGGACCACAGCGTGAAATCCCATCCATCCCTGAGCTTGCCCCAGTGTCTAGCGGCAGAATCCCACCAGTCCCTTCCCTGAGAGGCCCTGGTCACAGAATCCCACCAGTCCCTTCCCTGAGAGGCCCCTGGGCACAGAATCCCACCAGTCCCTTCCCTGAGAGGCCCTGGTCACAGAATCCCACCAGTCCCTTCCCTGAGAGGCCCTGGTCACAGAATCCCACCAGTCCCTTCCCTGAGAGGCCCTGGTCACAGAATCCCACCAGTCCCTTCCCTGAGAGGCCCTGGTCACAGAATCCCACCAGTCCCTTCCCTGAGAGACCCTGAACACAGAATCCCACCAGTCCCTTCCCCGAGAGTCCCTGGTCACAGAATCCCACCAGTCCCTTCCCTGAGAGACCCTGGTCACAGGTACCCACCAGTCCCTTCCCTGAGAGGCCCTGGTCACAGAATCCCACCAGTCCCTGAGCTAGCCCCAGAATCAGGCTACAAAAGCCACCAATCCCAAGGCACCCTGGGAAACTGCCCACCCCACCACCATCACCTATATAAACTCTGTACCCTGTTGGGTTTGCTGCTGCTTCTCACCCTCTTGGATGTTTCCTTTGCAGTGACACTTTGGCCTAAGAGGGCAGAGCTGTAACACTTTCACTGGGGAACAACGTAGCTGGGCAAACCCTTCTCCCCTGCTGGAGCAGGGTTGTTCACCTGCGCTGGGGAAACCTTTCCCTGGCCAGAGCTGTAAGCTGCTACACTTACAGAGACTTTGTGGTATTCCTTGGCTCCTGGCTACAGTCCGAGCTTCAACACTTACACTGTCTGTATTGGGTTGACCTGTAGGCGTGTCTGTGGCTAATTGTCTTAGTGATACCTGAAGAGCCAGTCCACTGTGGGAGGCACCATTCCCTAGGCAGGGGGTCCTGAACTTTGTAACAGAGTGGAGAGGAGGCTGAGTGCAGCCGTGCAAGCATACATGAATTCCTTCTCTCCACTATTCCTGCCTTGACTTCCCTCTCTGCTATGATGGACTGTGACCTGGGAGGGCAAGCTGAAATAACGTTGTTTTTTTTTCCCCTAAGTTGCCCCTTGTCAAGGTATTTTATATTTATTTTTCTTTTTTGTTTTTTTGAGAGGGGTTTCTCTGTAGCTTTGGAGCCTGCCCTAGAACTTGCTTTGTACACCAGGCTGGTCTCGAACTCACAGAGATCCGCCTGCCTCTGCCTCCAGAGTGCTGGGATTAAAGGCGTGCGC